TTCTTCGGTTTCAATGCTAAAGTATGGACCACGAGAAGGCGCGTCATCATTTTTGGTCGTCTGGCCCCCTCCGAAATTCCAGTTCGCCCCCCCAAAAAAAATCCTGTGCACGCCCCTGATCGAGACCTGTCGATTGACAAGGGGATGCATCTCCTTCTCGAGGAGATAAAGCTCCTCACCAGGAGTTATGCAGAGATTCCTGGCTGGCGAGTATTCTAGGAGCTCTCCGACGAGGATTCTCCGACATTGAGCCAGCTCGCTGAGATCAGACACTCATTTCGATGTCGACAATCGTGTCATCAGCTCGAATCGAGTAACTCTATATTAAGCGAAATCGAGGATAGAGGGAGCCCTCTCTCACGAGAATCTCCCCGAGGTCTCAGCGGCATTTCGACTCCTTAGCTCGTGTGGTCCGCGACGAGTAGGATCGGAAAAATGTCCCGAGTTATACCATCAAGATTGCGAGTACTGGTTTTGGTCTGTATTGTGTGCCCGGAGGTTTTCTCAGCTTCCGCCTATATCGGCTTCGAACCTCGAGATACATTGCTGGAGCAGGTCATTCGACAGCCCATAGAAATCCTCATGAATACCTCCGATTTGGCGACTCAGACACCCTTGGAGCTCATCCCGCCGATACCGAGCCCTTCGCAACAAATGTGTGATTGGTGTCCTTCCTGCTATTACTGCAGGAGGAAGGAAGCGCATCCGGAGCTACCGCCGGGAATCATGAACGAACATGATCTGATCATCTTCCACAGCTCGTTAGGGAGGAACGTCAAAGGCGCAGTGAGATCGTTCTTCGACAAGTATCTGGATTCCGCCCTCTGGAGAGCGGGTCTGAAACCTTTGCGGGTTTTCGTGTCACGGTGCACTGTGTTAGTATCCATGTTCCGAGGCGCGTTTCCGGCGTGTAATTGCGACCCTGCGCCTGACTCTTACCAAATCTACATGGGGGATCTCGAGAAAATTTTCAAGGATTCCGTGAACTTCAGCTCTTGCAACAGATTCAATGCAACCTGTCACGTTGCCGTTCAACCGAAGGTGTCGACGGCTTACTATATCATGACAAACAGCACGAAAGAGCTTGTGCAGCGCATAGAGGATGCCCCGGTTGTTTTCCTGCAAGTGCCGTCTTTCGTCTTGACCCTTCACGTGGAGCAAACATCGCACCCGAAAGGATTCTTCGAAACTTTCTTGGCGCTTAATCGTACGGAGGTCGGAACGGTGGTATCAGAAATAGTTGAGCATCATAAGAAAAATGATCAGCATTTCTCTGATATAGGACGCTTCTTCGAGAGCAAGCTCGACGGAAAAGAGAATTTTTGCTTCAAAATTGGGGATAAGAAGCAGACTACGCATGACTTCGATAACTTTCTGGCACTCAACAAAACTCGATGAGTTGCCGCAAGAGAATAAATGCGGGTGAGCTTCCGCGATAGGCCAGATATTTTCTTTGAGTGTCAATGAGTTTTCAACGCTAGCAGCAAGTCCCAAGGACTCTCCCCGCACCTAACGAGCGGCGGAGTCTTTGGGGTCTACTATCCTAGATGAGATCTTTACCAATACAGTGACTCTCGATTAGGTACTTAAGGTATGATTCCGCGCCCTTGGCCTTGGGAGGAGGCGTCTGCTGAGACGTTCCTCGATCGTCGGTGGACTTCACATGCTTCCACTACATTATTACGATCGACCTCAGAGGGGTGCTCTTGCTGGGGAAGAACAGAGTTTACGCCAGGACCGAGTTTCTCAGGTCTGAGGAGACTCGTGGGATTCTATCCTATGAACGAATCGATGTCTTCCTCGCTGAGGAAAGAGTCCGTCTCCCCGAATGGATTCAGATTCCCAGATGTGAGTTTAGCTCGGGGCGAACTGGGAGAAGGGACTCCAGCACCTGGATTCCCAGGCTCCCTGATATTCACGCAGTCGCTAACCGCGAAAGACGAGGGCTCGGTGCATACCGACGGAGGGGAATTCCTAACACGGGAAGTATCGGTTACAGCGCCTGTCTCCCCCATCGACTTTCGCTTCGACTTCTATGTTGGAGCCAATGCAGTAGGGAAAAAGTCTCATTCGACTTAAGTTATAGAGCTCATTTATTCGACCTTTTTTTCCAGGTTTCGGTACATTGTCCGCGTGGATACTTTCCGAGTACTCACTTTAGGCCTCTTCTGACACACGAAAAATCTTATGCCCTCGTAACCTTGTCTGACATTTTGCGTCCACTATGATCGTTCTCGATCCTACTTTTCTGATAGCACGCAGCGCTGACGTGCGTCACCAAATGACTGACTCCGACACGGTTTTCGAGGCGTTGATCTCCTCATCCGGTACTCTTTACAGCCTATGGTTATTTTCTTCCTGTCCAACGAGCTCGTTCTCGCTGGATCGATTAATACATAATCAGTATATTATCTCATTTTTATACACTTTGTACACCCGCACGCATCTGAGGCCTTATTTTCGCACCAGGGTTGCCCTGCTCCTCAGGGATGACAATATCTTCTCTCGAATCTCGCAGTCCTCATGATATTATCCATAATACTGAATGTACATTTGATCGAAGGAACAAGCAAGGACGAAAGATATCAATGCCGGAAATTTTCGTTGTCGTTGGTTTTGTTTGCTGGCCTTACTACTGCGTAGCGTGAGGACCGCACATGCGGTAAGCACACAGGAACCAACAATCCGATCGGCCACCATTGGACCGATCAACACCATCACGAGACGTCACCACCATAAACAGACAACTCTTGGGGAGACGTCTGAACCTCAGTTTGCAATTTCCAATCTATTTTCCTCCGCCGGAAGATTTCACCGATTCCAAGTTCCGACGCGAATTGTCAAGGAGAGCTCATTGGGCAATTTCCAGGAAAGATTAGGCACAAATTTCTTCTGCAAAGTTTCGACGGAATCTCGGCTGATCGGCATTTAACGTCACACTACTCATTCCTTGAAATCACCGCCTCTCTCACGCTCTCCACATACCTGGGGAAACATATGCAGAATAGAATATGACTAGTTGTTCAATTCTCCAGACGTATTTGAAAATATCCGTATCATGTTCTTCTTGTGACTGTGAGAAGGCGTCACGTACGTCGACCTTCTACGCAGAAATCTGAGCACGCTGAACTCATTGTGGGCTCCAGGTGTGATCATTCGTTGGCAACTCATGATGCCCCATGAAAGTTTCAGGATCGTCCTCCGCGAACGATATAAGTGCGACGTGCTAGGTGATCGACCGAATACGATGAACCGATCGATTTTCCATCATTTGAGACCAGTTGGCGGTCCCCGCAGGATGAATTTCTCTTTCTTGGATATTCTACGGGGGTTCAACGCCGAATAGTGTCACGGCTATTGGAGAGCGGCGAGTGATCGTCCCCCTCCGGAGCCTGCATTCCGCGGTCAACACAATGGGCTAGCTCCTCCTCCGATCGTCCGCGGATTTTCCGCCGAAGACTACTCCTGGGCGAAATTAACGTAAACTTTGACTACGTCGCTTCCTCTCGCGGAAGTGTCCTTCTCGGTTCCGTTGTCCGGGGCACCCGTCGACTCCCGCGGACTCTTCTCCATTTCGACAGCGGAGGCCAACCTGAAGACGATTCAGAGGCGTAAGGCGATGAGACCCCGTGCTCGATCGAGGGGCAGCAGCATCATTCACCGAGGACCCAAGATACTTGATGAGCACCCAATTTATTTCAGTCTACAACGACGGGAAGTATCTGTTCTTCTCTACTTACGGGTTGGGAACGCTCTCTGACGGAGGAGTTGTGGCCAGAGTGTCTGTCGACCGGGCAACATCTCCTAAGCATGAGCGGAGCATCGAGGCAGGACCTCCGTGTGACGAAGACGCTCTCGATCTATACGAAGGCGGTCGGGAGTAATCTTCCACTATGACCTGGTTCAGATGAGGTCTGAAATGAGGAAAAATTGTGAGCCTAGCTGACATGCCACAGCAATCCTGCAATTGAATTCAAGAACTACTCCGCGAAATAGGATTTATCAGACCGGAAGAAACTATGATTGCTCTCGCTGATGAAGTGTGTCTCTCGATTATTATTGAGTACATTCTTGTCGCAGGTCAAATTCTTCACCGAGCTTCCATGTGCCATGCTGGTGGAGGCATCGACGCACAGAAAATGACGCGTATTCGGGATTTTCTGCGATGCTTCTGTTTTTCCAGAGCGTATCTCCCCTGTGAAGGTTTCTCACACAGGCCTGGGAAGCGCCGACAAAAAATATCTTTTCTCCGCATCAGCGACAATCGGCTCGAATCGGTGGAAGAATATTTACACGTGGAGCACTGATCCTTTTCTCTCGTCTAAAAACTCGGTTTCCGCGGACAACCGCCTCGGGGGGTTCCATTGAATGGGCAGATATTATTCTCTCATCCAAAAAGCGCGCCTCTGAAAAGGCCGCAAGAAGTGGCTACCTCGACTTGCCCGTCAATCCCATGAACTTGGGTCTGAATTATTGAAGGATTCAGAAATTTTCCACGCCAGATTCTGCACCGAGGCAGCGCTGCCGAACTGCCTAGATATGAACCGAAATTGTGCACTGTGACTTGGGACGCTTTTCCGACGAATTACTCCAAATGAGAACCTGTCTCAGAGCATGCGTGAATGAAATCCCGAATAGCGTAGCTCGTCACACCGTCAAGTGACAAGGAACGTGAGGCAAATCCAAAAGACGGCGAATCTCGCTTCGAAAGCTCCGTGGCAATCACACCCAATTGAAAGTGAATTCAAATTAGATTGCAGTTTAGATACGCGGTAATGGTTCCGAGAAGGCGAAGGTGCCAGAAAAGAGAAAGTAAGAATAAGAAGGTTCGTTGTTCTCGTTCCCGAATAGTAAAATGACTTGGGATACGAGTGACCAGGAATCCGTCTTTCTCCTCTGGCAAGGTGTCCAAGCGGCGGACTATCGCTCGACCGTCTTCGCATTCTCAGTGCCAACTCCGAAAGACGGTGATTGAACTGCAGAAGTCACAGAACAAGCGGGCCATTTGCCAAGAGAAAACACCGGGGTGAATACCTCGTGTCCCATTCCAGCCGGCGAGAATGTCCACAGGAGCAACCAAGAGAAAAACTGAAAGTGACCTTGGGCTCGAATCCATCACCCGGTCCGGCCGTCTTCTCGAGGGTTTGTCCCAAAACTTCTCTTGATGGCATTTGATATTGTTTCCCCATGCCTCTGAGCGTCCGGGGGCGATTCTCAAGTGAGGGATATCCCCGTATTATTTCGAAAGACAAAGACATCGACGCTTTGTCTGCTCGAGTGAATTTTCGCATCGGTCTGATTAAAAAAAATTACTCCAAAATTGCATTCGCGGATGTCAGAAACCGAGGTCTTCGGGAGACGTCGTTTATTTCCCTTTATTCTCAATGGAAAAGAGTGGAAATGAGACGGCGAAGGACCGCCGCCAATCGACCGGGCATTCTGTCCGAGCGTTTTCCCATCTGACTCGTTGACATTTATCCGTATCGTGCTCTGACCGCTCGTCAGCACGTTCGCTTCTGATGGCGCGACTTCACATGAGACACGCGCACAGCTCGGTGATCGCTCGCTCGCTCGCTTTCGTTCGTGCGGCGGATATAAATAGTACAGCTCTCGCGGTAGTAAGGACGAGACTCAGAAAACATACTGATCGTCACGACCACGGGAGAGGTTAGGATTGTGTGAGGAGGAGGGTCGACCGAGAGAACTGGGAAGAGGACGATCAGAGCACCTACCCGCATCGGATCATGTACGTCGGTACTTACGCACGAAAGCGGGTATATTCAGTTCGATTCCGGTCGGAATACTCTTCTACGAACCTGCTGTGCTCGAGTGTAGACTGCGCAGATCGATAAGTTGGGGGTGGTGAAACGGGACCGACAGCCGCCGTCGTCGTTGTATTTTGGTGTCGATCAAACAGGAGTCGCAGCCTGTACTCCTGCATTGATGCTTGGTACGTTGGAGGAGGTGGCCGATAATGGAACTCTGGATACATCATTGCTGTAAATGGAAATAGAATATGGATGAACGCACTTTGCCGGCGATCAATCAATAAACATCAGAGCGACCCTACTTTCACGGCAACTTTCCCGAGAGGGCCTAGCCAAAGCTATACCAGAGATAGGAACGCTGGGAGATCGGCTCCGAGTAAAATCCGACGATTAACTCGATCCGCGCTGCGTGGTAGACTGGAAGTTTACCGCCACGAGTCCATTTCCTCGTTGGATGAATACCCCAATCCCCCCTCCATCGCTTGGTCGCTGCCGAACAATAATTGTGCTCGCGCGCGCCTACGCATGAACGTGCGTATTTTTGCGGAAGTCTGAGCGTATGAGTCGAACGAAACTGGTGACCTAGAGGAACTCATCCGGATTGTCGAGTCCGACCACTTCCGTCGGTGGGGAAAAAAGGAGCGAGAAACGCTATCACGACTACACTCCGTGTTTGTTAGAATAGACACCGCTGGAGCTTTGTTATGGAAGTTTCTGCCCGGGAGATTTTTAAGCGGTTCTTCCCCGCACTGTGACAGACGCGCTTGCGGACCTTACTTTCTTTCACTTACAAACAAAGCAACCAGCGCGAACCATAGTCGCTGCCGCAAGCCACGCTCTGTGGTTTTACACAATCACCTCATTCAAGCCGCGAAAATTTCCCCAAACGTTCCTCCCATCTGACATGCGAATACGCGGCCGCAACTCGGGCCAGCGAGCACTGAAATTCCATTACAGTTTCAAGTGCCCACCCCCTGCTCGCTGAAAATCGTCGAGAGGGGGCTCAAGTCGAAAATCCTTTTGCTCCTCTCTGGATGATTGAGAGTGGCTCGAAATGAGAGCTTGATCCAAGGAGACCTTCGCACCTATCGATGCGAACTCCAGAGCTCGTTTCCCAGATTATAACATCGGATAAGTGGGAAAATGCCGGAAGCTTACGCTGTCGCTACCGAGAGGACCCTCTTGAAAAAAATGCTTCCACATAGCTGGTCTCTATATCCGCATGCATTCCAGGTAGCTCCCAGTCGCTGGATGATTCTGCGATTTAAAAATGAATTCTTTCCGACTCAATCCAAGGCTAATTTCGATGAGAAACTCATGCCCTGGGCATGGGTTCATATAAGGGCGGTGCCGCTGCCATGGACAGATTCGTACAGCGCCTGTCTCCGGGAGAGGCGAGACGCTCATTCCGACTGCAGCCGGGATCGACCCTTCCATTCCGATACCCCGACTCAAATCCCGCAAGGAGACTTCACGGGAATCCTGACGGAAACTCCCACGGAAATGCGACCTCCTATTCGTAACTTGTTCTCCCAAGTCACAAAGAGCAGGGGGTCGCTCGGTGCGCTACTTATTCCTCGACAATCCCTCCGTTCCCCACAGCCGGATGGCGGAGGAGAATCGGGGCGATATTCGGTCGCCCAACACCTCGAGACTGCATTTCCACGTCTCCCATCACCATGATTTTCGTGCTCCTCAAGGATTTCGTTAATTGTTCTCGATGTCCATACTCGAATCAGCAATCGAGGTTTCGCGGCGCTTTTTTCGGTGAACGCTATTCCACGGGAGTTGCGACAAAGTTTCGTCGATCGTGATGATGATGTAGGATGTAGGCGGTGAGCTGGCGGCGCGAGGTACGATGCCTCAGTCGGCACGGTAATTCACGTGACTAGCTTTCGAATCGAGATATTTGTGCAAAGTGAACGGCCGCAGCGCGCCGAACTAGTAATCCACGCCCACTGGAATCACTGCGGTGCGTTCCCCAATCGGAAAATCGATGTTCCGCGAAGCATTTTCAGTTTGGACCGAGAGGTTCAAGTGCCACCACTGCGACCCCTAACGCGGCAATTTTAGGCAAATGTTCCAATGTTGAGCAGGAGTTTTCGAGGTCCTTCTATCTATTTTCCCCCCGTTCGAGCGATTTTTTGACGATGGCGCGGGGACTCAGACCACCAGGAGAGTTTCCCAAGGAGAATCGAGTCGAGACCCAGATGAATTTCGCAGCATATGCCAATGTCTCTCATCCGCCGAGTCTGGCGGATCGGTGGCGCTCAAATAGAGATAGAACCTCCGTATCGGTGTCAGCAGCAAGTGAGGAAACTCCGCCCCTCTCACTCGGCCCCAGATAGATACATATCATGGTGCAAGGAAGAGGTCGGACCGAGCGATCTCTGGCTTCCTCGCCGTCGGGATGAGTTATATCCATTTAACATCGTTCGAAGATTTCTAGATAACTCAATTTGTTGCCAATGTAGTACGTCTGGGGGTACTATGGGGTACTACGTCTGGCTGGATCTCGGGGGGGACACCGGCAGACGAGCCTCGAGGTCAGTGTGTCACGGCTACTCTAGGATAGCGGGGAAGGAGACGAGAGAGGCGGGGTAAGCGGACGAGAAGCTCAGGCAAAGACCTTGGAGTACTTCGACAGCGACCTCAGGGATCGGGAGCGAGCGACTGAGCAAGTGACAGACCGGCCGACGACTGGAATGGATGTCGGCCCGTCGATGCGGACTCAGGGTCGGACGAGGAGATCCCAGCTCAAAGACGTACAGCCGACCGGCGCTCGGACGGACGGCCGGCGGACAAACGGACAGACTGGTAGGTCGACTCTTCGAAGCGTTCACTTACCCTCGGCGTATGTGAACCCTTTCCTTGACTCCCGCAACTTGGGTTGCCTGCTGCAACATCGAAATCTGCCTGCCTGCCTGCCAATCCCGACTTTCTGATCGGGGACACCGATGAGGGACGTGTAGTCGCCGCGAATCAGTCACTTAGTCAACGGTCGTCTCGAATGTCAGGAAAAGAGACAGTCGAAAGCAGAGCACCCGTAAGAAGATATTAGTAGCCCCAGGATGGAAAGGACATTGGAGCGGCTTCGATTGCTCAGACATGCGTTCACGCTTCGAGGCAGATGCGGAGAATTTCTTCATCTGATTTCGGCTCGAGCGATCCGACCCGTCATCCAAACCAGGACTCCACGGGCGGCGACATCCGAATCGGACAAGGCAGGCCTCTTACTGGAGAGCGAAAGAGAACGTTTTTCTCAAATTACCTGCGTAGGGATGATTGTATCTACCGTAAGGGGGCATTCTATTCACAAATCTCCGGTTTGGCTCCGCATGGGGATCGGTTGTGAGACCCAGCATTGTTCCGCACGATGAAACCGAATCGTAGGCTGTGAGACGCCAAGCCACCCCAGATACCGTTATGAGGACGATGCCGACACCTGTAAAGAAACGTTGGGAACGGTTAGGTGTGTCGACAGATCCTTGCGGACAATTGTAGCCGCGCAATTTATCGCCAAGCCATAAGTCGGATAACAAGTCGACAGAAGCTGTCTCGCGTTCCTATCCGTGATGTCCTGGAAGTTCCATGATTACGAGATTAGGGAACAGCTCGTAGGTCATTTCGGTGAGCCTAAGGACATACTATGTTACGAACGGTGAAAAATGAATTTCATCCCTTCGACTCGATGCGGCGTCGATGTCAAAATCTCAGTCCTAAAGAGCCGAATGGAATCAGAACTCACATCCTCGACTCGGAAGCCGCTAGGAAGAGCGGGATGGCTCATTCTCAGTGATGTATCTCTCATTGAGAATCGTCGGCGGACTTTTTCCCGCCTTATGGCTCGCGCTCGGCCTTGAGACGTGACAATCGAAAACTGAAAACAGAACCAGGGCTGTCCAGCGCAACGCAGGCTCTGGGAAATCCGTTTCCGTGTCGAATGCGTAATTATTATGCCAGAATATATCGGAATCATCCGCAGGAATTCGGTCCTCCGAAAAATTTGATTGAGTCGATGATGCCGTCTCGGACAGAGGTAACGCGGAAGGTCCCGTAGGAAATTCATCACGAATCTCAACGTGGACAAAATCGATTGAGAAGCGTTCCCGAACGAGATTCTCCTTGAGAACGATCTTACTGTAAGGAACTGGGTTGGCCCCAGTGTCCTGGGGCTGAATCGCCGAGCTTTGCTTCTGTTTCTGAAGACCTATTCCCCATTTGACTGTCGAAAAACAGAAAAGCGGGAACAAGAGCTGGCATCCTCAGAATTATGAGCTATTCGACGGTGATGCGTTATCGGCCGCCCCAAGCTTGCCAGATACAACCGGCTCGAGTTGCTCCTTTGAGGGGCTCGCCGGCAGTCTGTCGCTAGGCGAAGTTGACGATTCGACCAAGAGGGAACGAAGATGACGAGTAAACGATGTATTGTGCCTGCTGTCGTCGTCGTCGTCGTCGTCTTGTTGAAAAACGCATTAATATAATGAGAGTGAACCAAGTGACGGCGGAGTCTGCGACCGAACAGCTAACGAAAGCAAGCCGTAGAAGACTCGGGTCGATAGCCCAACTCAAGTTCTGGCGACGACGCGCGGCCAGAGGCTTCGGTCCGGGCAGAATCATCATCGCAACAACACCTGAGCTGCACTTCACATTCTGACCATCAACAACAATCGGTGATTCACACAGAGTTGGCGTCGGTCGCCCTATAGCCTACGCCGGTCAGTCGACTCGAGTGTTCACTCCTCGAGTCGCCGCCGAATGCTCGGACGAGATCGGAAGCGTGGTTTCGAGTCCGAATTCGACGCCGAATAGATATCGCTCTGAACAAGAAGAAAGATTCAATTCGCTCCGTATTAGCCTCGTTCACGAGATTGATCCCGTCCGGAATTAGTAACTCGAGCCCCTAGAAATCCAGGGGAAAAAGGCCGCGGGAAACTTCCATCGGCGGCCCGTATCGGCGAACTATGGAGAACCCGCTTCTGAGGATTCGTTTCAAAGATCATCAATCGTCGATTGCTCGCTTTGAAATCGCGTCGGAAGGGCAGGGTTGTTGTCTTCGTCGGTGAAAACGCATCGAAAAGCATCGGGCTGCAATATTTCATGCATATACGAAACTATCAAGTCGAGCAGTTATTGGGTAATTACGATGAAATCCAGGCGAAAACGAGAAACAACACTGAGCAGCGAGATCACCAGATCGAAACCGAGCGACCAGACGATCGTCAGAGCGAGTAAGTGACCAACCGACCGACGGACCAACAAACCCTAGAAATGTTTCCACGGCGCCGACGATGGCCAAGGTGGTGCGGTCGAAGCGACCGATAGCGTTTTCGATAGAAATTGCCCGCTGCTTTCGTTACAACTCGTCCGGAGGCTTCGCCTTCGGTTGAACTATGTGCAGCAGCGCGGATACTCACACCCTAGAGTAATTAGGAGTTTCAAAGCCGCACGGCAACCATATTATTCCTCTGAAGCTCTCGTGCATAACGCTGCTGTCCTCATCGATGTCGAATTCGAGACTCCGCATCCGGCCGAATCAGGAACAGGTATTCTCGATTTGAACTATCGATCGGAATGAAATTTCGAATTTCCGGAGAGGAAGACCCCGCGAGCCAGGCGGGCGGCTGATTGTTCTCGCGAAGCTCGGCAGAGGAACTTCGACTCCTGTCATCCAGGCACTCAAGATTCTTGCCACACGAGGATCACTTTGGCCGGTCTCATGGGAGAACATTTAGTTTGTTCACTCGTCTCATGTCCCAAGTCGATGGAATCAGCTCATTTTCCCCATTGTGCTAATTTGTTCCAGCTCGAGGAACGATGTATTTTTTTCCGCCATGATCTTTTCGGCGAGCGGCACCGCCGTTCGCAAACTTCAGGCTCCATGTCGGAATCTTTCTCATTCATACGAGCCCGACGATTCGCCGATCCGAGCCCGCGGCGCGCGATAGCTACGTCATCGATGAGCAAATAAGGAACGACGGAATGAAGCAAACTCCGTCATCGCAACTGATAAGGAGCAGTCGATAGGTCCCGAACGAATGATAATAATCGTTCGAAAAAGGAACGATTGCGCTTCAGCTGGGCGGCGGTATTCGGAGCGATATGTTACAATGTTTTCGAAGGACCCCCGTACAGCTCTGACAGTGCGGTGTTGTTACCGAGTAGCTCGAAAGTTTGTCCGCAGAGCCTGGGACGACTCCCTGTGCGAAACCGGAACGATGGAATTTCATAGCTTTGCACTCGGCTGTGCGTCTCGTCGCACGGCTCGGAGGGATTTACTCTCAGTCTTAGGACTTGTGTACACAATGACGCTCGGACGGTAGTGGCGTCGGATAGAGAAATCAGTAAAGGTGGCAGCTCGGTTTGTTTGGTCTTTCGTTTCCGTGATCCAAATGTTTGTCGACCGATCCTCCTTTGTTGTTTTTTCTGTCTGTGTAGAAGGTGTGATTGTCTCCTTTATCCTCGTCTCCACTCAGTCTGGTAGGAAGCCCTGAGCGGAGGAATCTCCATTCCAGAGCTTTCCTGCTATTTCCATCCCGTTCATTCAAAGCTAGACTGAATGGACGCAATTCATTCTTCTCTCAATTCCATTTATTAATGGGGTGACCACTTTCTGCCGGGCACGCGCTTTCAGGAAGACGAGAAACCTCCAGATTTATTTCTGCCGGTGGAAGGTCATCGGCCGGCAACAATCGGAGACAGCGCGCCAGACAGGATTGGAAACGACTTAAAATTCTTCGGGTGCGGAATGAGAAGTCCCGAAAGCCTTAATGCGCGTTGAGACCTTCCGCTCGTGAGCTTAGCGCTGCCGACCATTAAGGAATGTCCCTTTCGAATAAGTTCATTTCAACGATAATTGTGATGCTTCTGCTTCGGGACGAAAACGATGCCGATGAAGAAGACGACAGCGATCATGAATAAATGATGATCAATTTGATTGAAACGCAGACGGGCCCTGCAGCTCGTAGCCTTCGATGCGTTCGGGTGGCATTGCCAAGGACGTGACTGGGAATTCGTTGGCGTGGCTCGGCCGATGGGCTGACGCGCGGATCGAGCGACCGACCGACTTCCTTCCTACCAGCATCCCGCCACTGCCCCGCCGTGGTGTTGCCGCCAAGCCGTCGGTCGACGTCGTCGCCGACGTCTTCGCTGGGAACACATGGACGCAGCCGCGCTTTTACCAGTGGAAAGAAAGAAACAAAAACGAAGAAAATATTTCAATCCGCCCGCTGTTTACGAACCGCCCGAAGATGTTCTTCCGATGCAGCGAGAACGGGCTCCAAGAACAAGCTGCTACCGCCGTTGATCGGGACCGGATCCCGCGTTAAACCGAATTCTTCATTTGATTCACAGGAAGCGCCATCAGGCTTAATATATGAGTTCCAGAGTGACCGTCAGATCGGATGAGCCGAAACCACGGTGGAGTTATGTGATTTGCGATTACGACGGGATGGCGTGCGCGGTTCAGCATCGCAACGAGTTTGCGTTGCTCATAAATGTTACGCATTCACTTACTTAGACGCTCGGAGAAAAAAAAATGCACGTCAAGAACGCGAATTCCCCCGGGAGGGAAAAGGTGAAAGAACTCAATTCTTCTGAGATGTCCCATCGAAATTGCCGCTGCCACAAGAAGCGAGCCTCCAGGGAGGGAAGGGCTCCTCGTAATTTCCCCTCATCACACACAGAATTCGACACCGTCACACGGACCGTTTCTGACCGCTCTGGATTGCAGGACAGCGGAAGCCAGTCAGCAGGGAAATGAAACGACTTGTTAGAAATTCAGTAGTAGAGTAATCACATCAAGTTGAGATAGCAGCGAGCCGGCTGCGCAGCCAACCCACAAGGAGCTCTGGCAGCTCGAGGTTAACTGACAAAGTCACCGTGGCCATGATTTCAGTTTCCAAAGTTAAACTTCCGACCACTCAAGTCATCTATTGTCTGTTTGCATAGTTTTGTTGCATTGCGACGTCACACTAGGACTTCAATCGTCGATCCGAAGTTCCCGGTCAGGCTCATTCACGTCTGAATCTTCTGAGTTTGAGAGGAAATGGCGATGATATCTGATCCCCACGAGATCCGATCCACGTAGAAAACCAAATCCCTTCTCGCATTATTCTGAGGACCGTAAGATGCGTGCGGCGCAACGCGCGGGGTAAGGGGAGGGGTAAGTTCACTCGATTTTTGAACATGATTCGATTCGATGAACAGAGGGACTGCCCTTGAATTTCTGACTCCGAGGGGCTATTGTGAGAGACCATTCGGGCTTTTCGCGATCTGATTCAGAATTTGATCTTAACGACGAGAACGCACGATTATTCATTCAATAAGCGGATACACCGAACGCTATCCCAGCAACTGAAGCCTTCGGCTGACCTCAGGCTCGCTAAACCGCACAGTATTGATCCCGAGATACCGAATCCGACCTCGCTCGTAAACTTGTGCTGC